ACATCAGTTACATCAGTTACATCAGTTACATCAGTAACATCAGTTACATCAGTAACATCAGTTACATCAGTAACATCAGTAACATCAGTTACATCAGTTACATCAGTAACATCAGTTACATCAGTTAAATCTGTAAAATGAGTTTTCGACGTTTTCTTTCCCTAAGCTTAAAGGGAGTGACCGGCAACGTATGGTAGTTGAACTGAGAATGTAGTGTTGTGCAGAAATTTTTAGGATTCATTTGACGTTGTAATGATAAATCATTACTGAGTTTGAGTTCAAAATCGTACATTTGGGTGGTTACGTTTTGAGAATCGATTTTTTTTAAATTATTAAGTAACAACGACAAAAATGTAAAAACAATTCTATAAAACTAATTCGATGTTTAGGAACATATTTTTCAATTGAAATTTTCTCAATAAATCAATGTTAGAATCATTTTTTTCTTTTTCATCATTATATTAAATTTCTTATTCTTTATTAATTTGTTCGTAGATTTCTTAAAAATTCTTTAAATGTTGTCTTTTCGATAAAAATTCCAAGAAGTCTATAGAAAATGTTTGTGAACATTGAGTTATTACAGAAGCCAATAACTGAATAAGATTACTTATTTCAATGATAATAGATAATTTTTATTTTTTCAACCTGTTCTAAGACAACTAATTAGTATACTGTAGAATTTGTACTAAATTCTTAAATTTGTGATTGAATAATTTTTTGAAAACCGAATCTCAAATTATCCCTCAAAAAATAAACAATCTATGAAGATTTTAAAGATTGGATTTGCACTCATGCTGAACAAATATGCACCGTAAAAACGTCTCATGGGTCTAAAATGATTCCTAAAAAATTTCTCCCCAATACCACATTCTCAGTTCAACTACCTTACATTGCCGGTCACTCTCTTTAAACTGTTGATTAACCAGGGGAAATCAATTCGAGACTTGACAAAATGGCTTGGAGTCACTTTTATGACAAGGGTGGATTTAGAACTAATTTTGCTCTGGAAGAATATAATTATCTATATATACCTGGTATACAGGGGGGGAGTAGTACATCGACTCATGATGGAGTGCATGGTTGTGTAGCGAGTACTCCCCGTAGTGGAGTTCTGATTTAGATAATCCGGGATGCATCGGAGATCCGGGTCCAGGGGGGAGGAGCCGGTTAATTGAGAACGGATTGTTTGTGCTGTACTGGGATGGATCTGGGGGGCGGAGTCCTAGTAGCCCCTCAGGTAGGGCGTATCTAGCGTGTAGGTCGGATACAGGGGAGAGGTGGGACATGTCAGGGGTCTGATATTTATCCTCGGAGATAGGATCGGAGCCGTAGTGGTCGTGTTTTCCTAGAGGGGCAGCAGGCAGTACTAGATGGTCGGTTCCTACATTATTATTGTTATAATTATAATATACTAAAAAATATTCTGAAAACATTGTTATTATCATGAATAAAAATATTTGTGAAATTAGCCTTGTACAATGTATAACATATATATATTTAATACCTCCAATATCTCCTGGGTCGACTCCATACTTGTCGTGCAGACTATACTTGTAATCATGCTTTTCCAGCTTTGTTGGCGGCATTCCTATATCATCTGCCGCCATCGTTCCTGGACCGGAGAGTGGCGGCAAACCTCCGCCAAACATGTCGGAGGATTTTAGACTGGGTTTCTTAATATCATGATCAGCTGATGAATCTGAACTGTGATTATTGTTCCTGCTCCGACCTTCTTTCCGGGATCTGCCAGAGTCCTTGTCGGAGCGAGGGATCTTAAACCTCTTCTGACGACGGAGGTAGCAACCGTTCTCAAACATATTCCCGCTGTCGGGGTGAAGGGACCAAAAACTCCCCTTTCCCGGTTTGTCAGGGGTCCTAGGCACCTTCACGAAACAGTCGTTGAATGACAAAGAATGCCTAACAAATAGAAATATTTTAAAATCGATTAAAAAGTATAATTCCAACTCCCCCTCCCACCCCCTAATATATTCCANTGTTTTTAATAACATTTTCACATGTTTTTACCCACATACTGTTTCCCAAGCTAGTAATGTAAAAAAAATCATAGAAATGTGGAGTCTCTTTATATCAAAACCAAAACACGTTGCACATCTCTACCTTAATTCTACAGCCTGTCTTATTACATATATATTTATATATTAATAATTACCTATATGGAGGTTTTGCGTGAGTATAACTTCGTCTGTAGCTTTTAGAATCCATTGAGCTGCGGGATCTAAGGAAATCACAATATTTACATCTTTTCTATTTCGAAAAATAAACTTTTTTGAATAATCATGTAATTCTGAATTTGTTATAAATGTGCAACCTAAACCTTTGATTTTTCCCACTTTGGCTCTTTAATTAGTAAAATTTATGGTCAGTAGGGGATAAAAATGTAAAATTAGAAAATTAGATATTGTGCCGAGTAATCAATTTTACTTTTCCTGGAAAACAGCGTTTGTAACTTTTATTTTTAAATTAAAAAACCAAAAAAAGCTCAAAAAGAATTAACTAAAAAAGAATTATCTCACCCCCCTCCCACATTTCGATCTTCATTTTTTACCACAAAACTTTAAAAGATTTGTGGTAAAATAAAATTCTTTTTCCTAAAGTTTACTTTATCCCTTACCCAAAAGCAAAGTAATAAAAGCAAAATATAATTCTTAAATTGTGTTCGGAAAACTAATTCTTAAAAAAAATGATGTCCTTGTTGTGACTTACCTAGGACTACCCTGCTCTGGAAAATAGTCCCTTGACCCCAGGGACCCCTGGGACATTCCTCCTCCCATACATTGGGACATGCTCCCAGACATTCCCATAGGAGAGGACATGTATGGGACAGGAGACATACTCGGTCCCATTCCATGGTGGGGGGAGTTTAAACTTTGCATCGGTGGCCTGGAAAAAGAAAATTTTCTCAAATCCTTTGAAATTTTTCTACAGTGAGAACCATACAATAATACAACTCTGGAATAGGAAGACGACTTTAAGACTCAAGTTTTGACTGTATTTAAAGTCCATTGAGCATGAGACACAGCAATTGTGCAATGTTAACAGAACCAGATCACTTGATGAATTATTTAAGAAGTTAATAGCAAATTATTGGCTTTGTAATAACATCAAATACACTTCATTTTTGCTATAATGTCGTCTTACTATTTCACAGTTTTCTGGTTCTCACATTAAATACTTGAAAAATAATCTATCTAGGCCTTTAAAGGCTTGTTAAATTTTCTCATTTTCATAAATCAACCAATTTACAAGTTTTTGAAAGCCTGCCGCCGAATCTTTTAAAAAAAATATCAAACAAGTTTTTAACGGATATCACGTACGCTGAGATTCAAATAAAAATACTGTCATTTTAGATCTTTTAGAATAATGTTTCTTGGACGATTTCGAGGACTTTGAAGAATTCTTAAAAAATCGGATTGGAATGTATCCTGCACGTACTATTCACTATGTTAAATATAATGTTTCCACATTAGGTATCTGGAACTTATCTAAGTCGAAAATGTTTTAAATCAAAGGTATGAGCATGAAATTAGAAGTCGGTAATTTTTGGCTTTAAAACATGAAAAAGAATTTTAAATAAGTATTTTCTGTTCAGGACTGTAAACGTATAATTTCAAGAGACCATCCATAGATAGAATGGCAAGTCCGATTCACAACGGTACCCTTAAAAGTGATTAAAGTTTCAGAAACAGTGGAGAAATCATTACATAACAATTAGGCACTCTTCAAGCCAGAAAAATGACAATATCTTCCACATCAGATTGAGGGTTCAAGGGTACCGTTGTCAATCGGCTCACTCCTGTATGCCTAATCTTATCAGGGTTCAGTCATGTGTTTGTTGTCTATTCTGAACCAATAGAAATTGCATGGCGGTAACATCTATCTTTCTATCTATCTCATCATCCAATTATAGATAAATCCTTAAATCGGCGCTGCAAATGGAAATATTTTCTTCTACTGAAACTATAGTGGGGTACGCCCCTCTCACTATAGTTTCAGTAGAAGTAAATATTTCCATTTACTGTTATAGCGCCGATATAAGGATTTATCTCTAATTGGATAATGAGCTAAATAGAAAGATAGATGTTACCGCCATGCAATTTCTATTGGTTCAGAATAGACACCAAACACATAGCTGAATCCTGATTGGATCAGGCGCTAACGAACGCGGCATACTGGAGTGCTCAGTAAATGGAGGGTCACTTAAAATTACAGGGACAGTCCCTTTAAGAGATTTTTGTTAATTACTTACATTGAGGAAAGAGGCGAGCCCATCATGTTGTTACTAAATGTTGAATTATAGCTGTTCATTCCTAATTCAATCAATCAATCAATATTTCAATTCTTTTCAATTTCAAAGGAATTGAGTCTTTGCCACAACCTTTGATTTTATAATACCTATATGTTTGAAAACATTGTTCTAGACCTTAGATATATCAAACTTTGAATTATGTTAGATCAGATAATCTAAGTTTGAAATATAAAAAGTTTACACCCTCAGGTTGCAAAGATATAGGAATTGGAAAATGTGAGTTTGTCACATAACGACTGAATTCCTTTATATCTAAAGTTTTACCTGAATTAAAGTGATTATGCGTAATTTGAATAAAGTAATTTTACATTAATATATAATTGATTTTATTCAAGAAAAATTTCATCTTTTTGATTGATTTGAGTTAATTATTTTAAGTTGATTGATTTTATTTAATTAAATTTATTTGAATTAATGTTTTTGATGAATTGCCTGCAGAGGCCATTGAGGACATTCCAGACTGCATACTGTAGCTAAAAAAGATACATTTTTGTTAAATCAAAAGTTTGAAATAAAGGAATTAAGTTTCTGTCTCAAACTCAATTTTTTTAATTCCTATATCTTTGCAACCAAGTATCGTAGACCTATGATATTTCAAACTATAAATTATGTTAGATAAGTCTAAGTTTGAAATATCAAAGGTTTACACCAACAGATTGCGAAGATATAAGGATTAGAAAATTGAGTTTGTGACAAAAACTCACTTCCTTTGCCCATGAAAAGTCTAAAGTCGTTATGCCTATACTATTGGTTGGTGGGAACTGCATTTACTGCACAATGATATTTTATTTTTCATATTATTCAACACCAAGAATTATAAAATAATGATTAGCATTTAAATTTTTAAAAAAGAAAAAAAGTTGTGAAGTTTAAAAGTTTACTTATTAAAAAAGAAATAAAATATTCATTTTTCGAAAGCAAATATTTCATTCAAAAAAATGTTTGAGTTTTGAATAATTTTGGTATCATTATTATCGTTGTCTTCATTACCTAGGAAGATGGGACAGAGAACCAGACATGGAAGAGGGGGGGCAACCTCCCCCCTCCCCCTGGTAGAATTTATTCGGGAGCATCCTCACCCTCTTGAAAGCATTAAACTTGGCGCCCCTGTCTCCAGCTAAACCCTCTCTTCACTTTCGAACGCCCCTGAATAATTGGGGACTTCTTAAACTGTGTTTAAAGTACTACAGTGTTTGTTACTCCTGTATGTTTGTGTGTTCAGCAAACACAGGGTTTAAGAATAAGTTTAATGTTTGTCCTTGATGTTTGTCCTACTCTACTTTTTATCCAAAGATCACTTTGTTTGATTTATAATAGTTGATCAGCAAACAAATGTTTGTAGTTCTAGCTGCACCTCTCTTGATGCAGTAATCAAACAAATCAAAAGAGGGAGACACTCGGATTTTCCTGTCTTTGTATGCACCCAGAAAATAATTGTAAATTCAAACAAAGATTGTTGGTTTTCAACTGCGCGGCGCAACAGTGTTTACACTCTAATTTTCTAACCAAACTGAGACAGCCAAGATTGTTGTCAGGGCAAATAAACGGCTCGGTGTGCTCTCAAAACTGCGCGTGCGCAGCCCTCGACCCTCCGGGACCTCACGGAGAGCAGAAACAGCGCGCGATCAAAGGTCGAGCTCTGATTGGCTACTGGGAAGTTGAGCCGGGCTCTGATTGGTTGAAGATAGGAGAGGCGGAGCCAATAGGGTAAATCTAGGATATCTCACTATAATACGATCCTGCAGAGAGTAAGAGGGGGGGGGGGGATATTCTCAATCATCATTACATATCTTCATATAATCAGAAACCCAAATATTATCATTTTCATGATGTTTGAACACAGCTCAGAAACTGAAGAACTGAACCTACAAACTTTATCCTAAAATACACACAGACACATGAGCAAACTGAGCACGGGGGGGGGACATAGAACAGATTTCACTTTTGCATACTTTTTTCAGAGGGTCTTGCACAACATTTTGACCCCCCCAGCCCCCCAGCCCCCTCCCATTGATTTGATCAAATTCTTTAAACTTATTAATTTGGTTTAAATTATCAGAATGGGTGTCAAGACATTTTTCTGATAATATTTTCAATCTCTTTTTCAGTTTTTAGATTACTACCATTATCAGGAAAAAAGTTGCTAAGGCATATTTGATAATTGTGGATAGATCCTGAGCTAAATTCCCCAGGGGCCGTCCGCAAATATTACAATATATATAGAAACTGCACTCCGCGGCAAATATTTACTTTTTCACAATAAACAAATTACACTTTATGTTTATTTACAAATCTCTTTAAGCCAATTTATAATAAAAAGTTTCTCTGTTTAAACAACCCTTGAAGGTTAATATCAACAAATATTTATGGAAGAACTGAAAACAAACATTTTTATTTGTACTGCAAGCCTGCAAATATACTAAGTAATTTATTAGATTAAACATTACATTTTTTATTAGTAAACGAAATCTTGTTTATCACCAGAAAATCATAACATGCATTTTTTCATTAAAAAGACGATTTTACTTGTACAAATAAATGTCTTTCTATGATTTTCAATTCAAACTAAACATAATGAGCAGGTCAAAGGAGTTAAGTTTTTGTTACAAATTCAAATTTTCGAATCCCTATATCTTGGCAATCTGATGGTAGAAACCTTTGATATCTTAAACTTAGACTATTTGATCTAATGGAATTCATAGCTTGAAATATCTAATGTCTATGACATTGGGTTGCAAAGATATAGATATAGATATGTGACGTTCTGAACTGCACAGGAGCAACTTTGTGACTTCATAGCTCCTCCAGTTTTGATTTGCGTAGACAAATACGTTCTGAACTGCACAGGGGCAACTTTGTGACTTCAAAGCTCTTCCAGTTTTGATTTGCGTAGACAAATACGTTCTGAACTGCACAGGGGCAACTTTGTGACTTCAAAGCTCCTCCAGTTTTGATTTGCGCAGACAAATACGAGAGCAACCAGTTTATCCGGTACACGGGCAGCCGTAGCACATTTGAATTTCCTAGCTGGGTCAACCTTTCCGGTCCCAGTTTGTAATGTATCGCCCGGACATAGGGTAAATCAAGCAGACGGTGCAACAAGGTTGACGCGGTCAGACTTTAGGTTGAATTTACTTTTACTGAAGGGTCAGAGAGATGCGTGGGTTTCATATTTGAAATTCAAAACATTTTTGTTCTTCTCAATAGCTCGGCAAGTTTTATAACGCGTTTATTTTTAATATAGTTTCTGACTCTATTTGTAAAATTTAATACATACAGTCGTTGTCATCGAGTCTTCATTTTCGAACCAGTTTTCTGCTGTGCTAAACTTTTAAATAACAATTAACAACGGATTTTTTTTTATTTTACAGCTACGAAAAGTTGCAGAAATTTTCAAGACCGGGCCAATCACTTAAAACAACCAACCCTGGTTAGGCGGGTCCAAACTGCATAGTAAATTGTGATTGCTTATTTGTTATATCTCATGCTTTGTAGTTGAATAAAAATATGAAAAATATAGTTTTGTTCCTCTAGAAATAAACATTTTAGAGTTGTATAGTAGAAAGAGAATAATGGAATTTAATCGAGTTAATAAAACTTGAGCACGTTAATCACAATTGCACGCTTCATTGCACGCAAAACTTAACGGAAGAAGATGGTAAAGTTTATGCGACATTAGTAGTCTAAATTTGCGACCTTTTAGCTAGAGTTTCTCATTTTATGATTGAAAAAAAAAATTATATAAATATTCAAAAAATATTTATTCTTATCAATAGCTCATTAATTAGAGAATTTTTAAATAAAAACATGTTAGATTTGAAATTTACTTCAGTTTAATGTGACTAAATTCTTATATTTTTTCAATCATAGCTCATCTCTTATTTCATAATTAAACCTATAAAAGACATGACATAATCCGAAATTTGTATTTTGTTTTGGGATAGTTTTTACTATTATGTATTAAAATTTGTATTCCGTTTAGTCATAGTTTTTACTATTATGTATTAAAAATTGTATTCCGTTTTGGGATAGTTTTTACTATTATGTATTCAAATTTGTATTCCGTTTAGGAATAGTTTTTACTATTATGTATTCAAATTTGTTTCGTAGTCTATTTGACTTATAGTTTAGATGCTAAAAGTCTGTTTTGTAGTCTATTTGACTTATAGTTTAGATGCTGAAAGTCTGTTTTGTAGTCTATTTGACTTATAGTTTAGATGCTGAAAGTCTGTTTTGTAGTCTGTTTGACTTATAGTTTAGATGCTGAAAGTCTGTGTTTTAGTCTATTTGACTTATAGTTTAGATGCTGAAAGTCTGTTTTGTGGTCTATTTGACCTATAGTTTAGATGCTGAAAGTCTGTTCTTTAGTCTATTTGACTTATAGTTTAGATGCTGAAAGTCTGTTTTTTAGTCTATTTGACTTATAGTTTAGATGCTGAAAGTCTGTTTTATTCGCAATGAGTTTGCTATTACCAAACTAAAACTGTGCAAATGGCTAAAATATATAAAGTTCAGCGTTTTCAACCCTATCCCGATTGGTCTATTTTTGTCTAATAGGGCTAACGAACGTTTTTTTTAGAATCTTCAGCTATAGGGTCAACACATTGTATAGTGTTTTATGCAACACTAACGCATTAGCTAGTTTCGATATAAGTAAAGAATCACTTTTTTAGTTGTTGCCGCTAATTTACACATGTATCTCTAGTTGGTGCTGAGTACTCACCAGCACGTGTGTGAACCCTGATTGGATCAGACGCTAATGAACGTGATGAATCTCCTGTGGCAATCTTGCCGTTGCGACTTTGTGACCATGTAGCTCCTCTAGTTTTGATTTCACACACAAGTAAGAAAAAATCTAACTTACCTTATTCTCTTTCGGGTCAGTTTATTCAGCCACTTTCTGAAAGAATCAGTAGCAGTAGTAGTAGGCACCATCTTCGATTTTCTTCGAACTAGAGACATGAATAGACCTTTATAAGACATGACATAATCCGAAATTCTTTCCCTTTGTGAGCTCGCCATGCAGGTATTCAAAAACAGACTTAACTTTTTACAAATAAACATTTTATTTTTCAGTTTGGACCCGCCTAACCAGGGTAGGTTGTTTTTATTGGTTGCCCTGCAAAGTTGATTAAACGACAGTTGACACATAAAAAGCATCAAATTAATATTTTTACATTTAAACCTTTCTTAATTTTCATAACTAATTTTTTTATTTAATCAAGAATTAATCATTTATGATAAAACTCTAAAATTAAAAAAAAAATAATAGACTTTCAAAATTCCATAAAGTGTCAAAAATTTGACCTGTGAGGTTTCAAACATTGGACTTACGTATTTTTTTCTTAACTGAGACAAACTTTCCAATCCACACACCATGTAATTTATATAGTATATATATAGTGCATATAGTGGTTCTTGTAAAGTTTAAACGTTAAAGTAGTTTAAGTAGCTAGGCAACCGCAGTTCCAAATTAACGACCAATCCCTTAAAAATGTCCTCTTGATAAATGTTGGTTCTAAATTTACAATTAAATAAATTTAATTATCAAGGCATGGACTTTCTTTTATGATTAATATTATCCAAATTCTAGGCTGAGAGGGCACTACGAAAGGATG